TCATTTTATGAAAATTAGCAAAAATGTTTTTCAAAAATGTATCCATTTGTAAACAAACCAAATTGTTGGATCTTTTTTTATTATTGTTCATAATTCAAAAAAGCTGGATCTCATAAAACATAACTAGTTCATTCAGAATTTTTAAATTTCCTTTTAATAGTACGCGTTAAAAAAAGACTTTCCAGCTCAATGAATCGTAGCAATATTTTTGTAGTGTTTTAATCTGGTTTCATCTATTGTTAAAGCTTGATTCAAAGAAATTGCTGCAAAAATCATCATTTTGGTAATTGTTAATGATTGTCAGAACGCAAAAACCTTGGTTACATTAATTTTAAGTCCTCTAGTTTTCTAGCTAATTGCAAAGTCCGCGTCGGCTGATGGTTAGTTATCAATGTTTCTTTTCTTAAATTGTTAGCGAGATTTCCTCTTGGTAGCTAGGAGAGTGTTATAAGGTGTTAAAAATCAACTCAAAGAAAAGCATACAGACAAACCAAATAAATTTACCAAATTCGCACCTTATGTTCTTCACTTTTGGCCTAATTCCCTCAAGTTTAAATCACACAGTGAGCAAACACCATACATTGGTAAACTGAAAATAATTACAATATTCAACAAAGCAAACATAAACTTTATTAGTTGACAAGACCTCTTGAGCCATGTTCGGATCTTGATGTCTTTGCATTGTGCCTTAAGCAACTTTGAAAGAGTTCATACGTGTCTGTTCATATCGTTCAGCTCTTTGATTTACACACAATGGCTTATACTCTGGACATTTTAGCACCTTTAACTCTATTATTATTGACATTCTTCAACCACGTACTGACCAACACCTTTATCAGTGAAAGTGCAGTAAACTCTTTTAAAGCAAATCACACAGACTTCTTGTGAAGTTTCTTTTTTATATCAACTACTTACATTGATCTTTTAACAGTATCATTCATCGTTAGTCTGGATTTTCTCTTTAACAAAATTGTAAAAAWAAATGTACTTCAACTTCAGAGTTGAAGTTTTTAATTCTCATTTCTTTGATAAATGTCAAACTAATATAAAGACTGATATAAAATTCTTTATACTGAAAAAAAGTTATTTTTGGCTGTCCATATAATTATACACCTTTTTCAGCTAATAAATCCATTTGCCGCGTTCTAGGTCCGCACGGATATGACTGGGTTCTTTCAGTTAGTTTCTTGRGRAAGTGAAGTGATTCGACTTGTAAATTATACTCAACGTTATAGCTAGGTAAATGTTATTTTCGTCAAAATGGCAATCTAAAATCAATTAAGACCGGTTCACAAGAATAATTCTGTGGACACATATCATTCGTCACTAAATCAGTCTTTATTGATTAAAAAAGCAGAACCCAAGAACTGAGTTTTGTTACAAAAAGTCCTTCACAAAACTAGAGAAAACTTAGATGAATGCTTTTTAGTAAGTATAACAGCGGTTTCATAGGAAAGGAAAATATAAACTTGGGAAGGAGATTTTATTTTATCAATTTTGAAACATTTAGATAAAGTACCTGATAATAAAATCTTTTCTTTTTTGAAAAGGCTCAGAAAATTTAATCCTCTTAAAACTATCATATTCTGCAAAAACTAAATTAATTCTTTCAAAATTGAAAATGCTCATATACAATGGCAAAATTAGAACTTGCAAACTTTAAAATGTAAGCTTTCTTTAAAACGCTATGTTTTCTTTTGCGCCTCTAAAGAAATAACAGAAAAACTCAATAAAAGAAAACAGGTACCTCTATACTAGGAGACCTTTGATTATTTCTTTATTAGCTGACTTGTACTACATGACTATGGCTGCATGATAAAATGCCCACTAAGTGACTAACTTTTATCTATAATCAGGCACTCCGTCAATCTCAAACCCCACGTTTTATTCTTCTAAACGCGTGCCATTTGGTTCCACTGAATATTAACCCAAATATCTCCTTAGATAGCACGCGGAGAATAGAAAAATATCCAATTGCGCCTTCTTCTGCCTTTTGGTCGCCTCCATGTATCAACCATATTGAAAAACACTATTGAAACAAAGTCCTTTTTTATTGTTTTTTTACTTTTCACGTGTGTTGTTGCCAGAATAACACATTTAGAACGATAATAAATTAAGGTAGAACTACACACACAAGGTTTTGAAACAAGATACGCTGCTTACTAAAAAGAACAAATTACTGCATTTGGCGAGATCCAGTCTTAATTTTTCATATAGGCGGTTACCGTAACAACGGGGTTTAGATCCCGGTAAAAATCTTCCTTTCGCCATAAACAAATTTACCTTATATCAACACTTTCAAAGGAGCTGTCTGTTCTTCTGATTAAATTATTCAGTGATTTCTTAGTGTGTTCGATATATTCGTTTCACGAACACCAAAACGTAMTCATTGCTTTTATTGGWAACTGCCAACTGCCAACACACAATATACCATTTCTGCACACGTGTGCTTTGGGTGTAAATTGGCTTTGTTTATCCGCTGTCTTGCTCCTTTTAAACTACTCGCTTGGATTTTTTTTAACTGGACATAACTACTACTTTTTTTAATTACAACTACATTTGATGCACGTTTGACCATTAAACCGATTATAATTTACGTATAGCATGAATAATCAATTAAAAATATAAAGATTACATAGAAGCTGTTTAAATACCTGGAGAATGCGAGATATAAACCCATAAAGTTTTTCTTCAGCCTTCAGTACACATTAGTAAACATATATAAATCAATAGACACGTGACAGGAGTGTTTTTAGGTACGGAATATAATCAGAAAGAGCAAATACTTYGCGAAATAAAGGAAGTAGAACGAACACTATCATATCCCTGCATAAATGTAACTTGACCAATTAAAGTGTTACAGATAGATATCGCCCGAAAGTAGCATTTTTCAAGTAAATCCTTTAGTGATTTTTGGGCATGTTTTGCTAGCCAAAAGCAATTTTTTTTTACTTAGCGGTGAATGAAAGTATGACCGCTTTAACCCTTCTCTTAAGATGACTGCTCATTTTTCATGTAACATTGAGCTTAAGTCTAAATTATGATTTGTTAGATCGTCAAATGCCAGACACACAATGTCCCCCAAGTTACTGTGAGTACCGCACAATTGTGTACAAGCATCAAAGCTACTCTCCAATGCCAACAACTCATAAAGTGTCATTCAGAAAGGGCTCAAAGGATTTCACGAACGAAGCCCCAAGAGACTAAAAAAACGAACAAAAATCTCCCCCACTTAAGCCCCCCGAGTTGATTTATAAAATTCAATAATAATTTCTGCCCAAATGCTTCATTTGAAATGAGGAATTACATTATTGCCTGATAGAATTGAGAAATAATACTTCGGTTTCTCAGCTAGAAAAACCTTTTTAAGAAAATAGTTAACAAGTTTAATATGCTTATGGCAAACACTATTGATGGCAATTTAATTGCCGTTTTCCTTCCTAAATAGTATTATTTACTTTTGCAACTTATTTATACCTAAGATATGAGATAAAATGTCAAGAACTTGTTCGCCGGTTAATATATACATAAAAGAAAAAGAAATCTTTCGAGCAATTTTCACACGAATTAAAAAATGTATTGTTTGAGCTTACAATCGGTTTTTGCCGTGTGGGCGTTTCAATCGTCCGTTAGGTCTCGTATATGTATATATATTTTTAATCTTAAAAACAAAGACTTGTCAGCACAACGTGGATGATTTCAAAAAGGCAATATTCCTGGGAAAAGTTGTTTTGAAGTTTTCCCTACAAATAAATCGATTGTTCCAACTTGAGCTTGTTTGATTTAGGTTTTCTCTACCTCAACGCTGTATGGATGTTTTCCTATTACCACAACAATAAACTTCTCTTTTAATCAGAAATAAATCTTCATTTTTTGAAGAGGAATTCTCCATAAAGAATACATTAAGCAAAAAGTTACTTTGGACGTTGAAACACAACAGTCAAAAAAGAATGAAGTTACGCTTCAAGCACTACGAARAAACAACATTCATATTTTCTATGACTTAAAAAGTACAAGGAAAAAAGCGCTGCAAAATTGTAGGCTTTCATAACACATGGGCTCACAATGACCCAGTCAAACAATCAAAATTATTATTTTTCTTAACAAAACACTTCGACCCTGTAAAATGGTTTTGACGCGATTGGCTTTTCGTAAATTAACGATACAGAATTCACTTCGACACGCCGTCGACTTAAAACACTTAAGTTTAGCCTCTTTTGATAAACTTTTTTTGTGTTTTGATCTTATTGTTGAAATAAAAAGGCAAAAATGACATTAACACTGTGCCTTCAAATTGTTCAAAGAGTCATTCAACAAATATTTCGTCGATTTCTAGAGAAAAATTTGCTTTTTATGACTTACGTTGTAAATATTTCTACTTTAAGTTTTCAAAAAAAACCCGGCTATGACTCAGAGTTCAACATTAATCGTCGCTAATTTCTCGCTTCTAGATAAGCATCTAATTCAATTCTCCTGCGGACAAAACACTCCAGAACGATACATCTTGGGAGATTAAGCGTTCTAGAGCGATACATCGCGGCAATAAATGAACAATGAAGTCATTGGTAAATTTCGTGGCTTCTTTGTTGTTTTGTTACTCACATTAGGGAACTATTTTATTTTTGAATGGCTAATCCTATCAAAACTCGAGCATTTGAATATTAATCTTTTTTTCTTTTCACGCGGAAGAAAAATAGAACGTTTGATCAAATTGGCGTTTCGTCGTCACTCTTTCAAGTGGGGTAGTTTCTGAGATGTTCTTTTCGTAGTTTTGAGGCCCAGCATATTTATATAACATGGATTAGCCATAAATCAAATATTGAACTCGGCACGAAATTAGCACTCCTAGGGTGCCCATAATAATAGAATAGAGTGCTTAAGGCCGTCGAACAACCAATCCGGTGTGAACCAGGCGAGGACCAATTTCCCTTATGAATATTCAATTATCCACCTGCACAACAATTAATTTCAAGTCATTTGTGAAAGAACTAACAGCCTTAAGTTAGCAAATAAAGTCTAGGACGCATAAATAGCACGGGTAGAACGTCCAGTAGTCACTCACATAACGCATTGTTCCAAACATATACCTTCAGCTCTGGACCATCATTCCAACGCTACAAACGAAATTTMAAAGTATTTTAACTCAGAAGACTCAACGCAAGAACAAAATGTCAGCTCAAGGAAAGGGGAATATTTCCAGTGATGTTAGAATGGGTTCCGCCCGCAAGGATAGCGATACCTTAAGCACAGGCAGTCTTCTTCTTAGCTTTATGACACAAGCCTCGGGGAATGTGAAAACAGCGTTAGAGAAACCTGCTAACTTTAAAAGGAACATCAACCATCGACGATATCTTCAAAAACAGTTGAGGAACTACTCCAAGAAAAAAGGGGACACGCCAGCGAAGAAGACTTCCTCCTCGAGTACAAAGTTCAAGTCAACTCATGGACATAGCGGCAAGCAAAGCTACAAATCACAAAGTGTATCATATATGAAAAGTCTACGTGATAGCTGGCTTGGAAGCGAGAAAGAACGCAATGCGCTAAAAGAGAGAAATCTACCAGCGTCTTTCTGGCAAGAACCGATCATCCCTTCGTTCCAACAAGATATCAACAGCAGCATGTACCAGTATCATCCAAGACCTGAAGACTATGCTCACACTAATGCAGGACCGAATCAAGAAATCGAGACTTATTTAAGCGGTTGGAATAACGCAGTAGCCACGTACGACGCGACACCGCGAACTGCCGGAGAATTCCCCACCTCAGACGCGATCCCCTCCATAACTCCAGAAGATGGACTGTCTGAAGAATTCATGACAGGAGAAGAACTTACTCGCAATCTTGATATAAAGGATCTTTACGTACCAGAAATGTACTCCGCAGATAAACTTTTAAGCGACGTCCAGGAGACGCTTTTTGCTGGGCAGATTTCACCATCGCAGTACTATTTACCATCTCCCTCACCGTACAATACCGAGGCGTATTTCAACTTCTCTTTGGAGCATGATCCGCAAGGACTTCCTCCTATTGCTATGGCTTTCTTTGGTCAAAATCCKCTCGCTCAATGCTAAACTAGAACAATTTTAAATGACKCTTGTAAATAAAAAAATTCTATATTGTTACCTTTTGAAGGTTTTAATATGACACTGRAATGGTTTCCTCATTATGCGGTGTACTTGAAGAAACCCATTTTGCGAATAATCTAGAGTGTAGGACTTTTTGAAAATGTGACATTGAAAACCTCTAATTATTGGTTTTTAAATTAAAGAAAATTGTTTTATAACACTTTGTGGCTTGGGTTTGATTTTTCTTAGACAGAAGCCTTAGATTTTAACATAAAGTCTTGAAATATTATAGRCTGAAATGACTTTTTATCTGGCGTACGTACGAAGCTTCGCTCGCACTTTTAAACACCACATATGTCCTATAGGACTAGTAATAACTAAGTACATTATATAACAATTACTTGCTTTTTAAAAGTGAAGATAAGACCGGATAATGCCAATTTATATTGTTTAGATTCAAGGGAAAAGGCGTAAGAATAATGTCTGCGGGTGGCTGTTGTTCTTTTGGTTTTTTTGCTCTCAGTGAAATAACCGTCTCCACAATTGTTCTTTGTGTGTCATCGTGATGCTCCGAAATAAATTGATTGCTTCTTTTATGCCAGCCTCAAAACCGTAAATTGATTTCTTTCGTGCCTGTTAAAGTTAAATTCAAACAAGATAAGCTTTGAATAGCAGATAAATGATTGTTCTTTTTTTTTCTGCTCGAAACTTAAGTGACTGCGCGGATGGTTTGTAGTGTTTTATTATCAACGCGGCAGTGAACACAATTATTTTGACTTGTTTTAGATTAGATCTTAAAAAAGTAAGGTCTATTCACTCATAATCTTTACATCTGAAGAGGTCCTTTTCAACACATGGGGCTCAGTCAAAGCTAACTGGTACTAAAGGACATTAAATGCCGGTAGGCACTACATAACGGAGAAAAACATCACGATACCCCAGTATAACTAGTGACAATGATATGAAATATCATCGCTCAACCACGTGGATTTAAGACCACACAATGCTAAAATATTCGTTTGAAGGTCTCTTTAAAATATTCACCAGTATTTATAAGTGGCACTCGTATAATGCTAAATTACTTATGCGACATAATCATTGAATTTATATTCATGATGGATTCGCAGACGTGTGAGTTATTGTGCGTTGTAGGAAAAAAAATAGTTATTTTTAGATATTCAGGCTAAATTAGCTGACTCTGAGTCTTGCTATGCTGACTACTCAGGGGCACAACAAGGCACAATCACGGCCATTGAAACTAGTAAGTCAGTTAGCGCGTGCTGAGACTCTTTGAAATACATGTACATAAATATCATTCCCCTGTCACCCCATAAATTTCAAACAATAATAACAAACCATGTTTAAGAAAAATACCTCCAAATTTCGCAATTACTRGTAAAGGACTTTAMCCTCAAAGAAGAARAAAATACTTCGACTTTAACACGAGGAACTTTTTCTAATGCGCAAATCCCCATTTTCTAACTAAATTGTCAAAAAATATTTTTGTACTTAGTACATACTCATATTTAAATGATTACAAAAAGAATTAGTTAAAAAAAAAGAATTCGAGGAAAACTAATACTCAATACAAAGTCCATTCGTTACAGAAGTATATCAAAAAACATGATCACGAGGGCACTTCATGATACATAGTATTTCAAAAATGCGCGAATGTATACTTACATTTTAAAAATAAACAACAGCTTAATATATAATCGGCTGAAATGTTAGGCATACAGAGGTTTGCATCAGTCACAGATATAGCATTTTTATTATATATAGCAGCTCTTGACGGAATACTAACTTCGAAATGAATTAATTCAGACAAATGTATTAAAGATACCAATCATGGAAAACAATTTTGAATGAGCGGGTTGCATTCAGCACGTATCTTAAAATGTTTTTCTAAATATAGATATATACCGGTATATTTTCTAACCTTATCTTTTTTATGTGGCCCAACTTTACAAGAGTCAAACGAAAACGACTATCATATCTGAATATCTCTGAAAAACTAAGAGCAAAGCGTGTTTGGTGTAGAAGCACACAAGAATATGCGGTTGAAAAAGATACATATATACGTGTATGAAATACAAACTAGGAAATGATATCGAGCTGCGACAATGCATCTTATGAAGCAGTTAGCGGCGAAAATATATAAAAAAAAAACGGTTAAACTAAACGTTTCAAAAAGAAATGGTCATTTTCGCTATCTTTGAAGTTGTAGGATATTGGAAACTATGGCCAATTAAAGCTAATATTATCACTTTTACCATCATCACTTTGTCACGAGTTAAAATTAATAATACAGCTTCTTGCACTTTTATTTTATAAGCCAGGGCCAAACGTGCAATTTCACATGAGTTGAATTTAAAGCAAACGAGATAATAAAGACATTTATGATTATGATTAATGATAATGAAAGATTACATGCGTGCGCATGTGTTGCGCAATTCGATATATCAGGTAATTCATCTACGAGTTTGTAGATACATTTCTTCCAAATAGCACTAACTAATCTGATGTCAAAAACGCACGAGTATGCCTCGACTAATTGATAAAAAGATGACGGGTTTCAAAAAAGCATCGAAGCTAAGACCGAAAGGGAGTATGGGAAGGCAAATAATTAGCATAATACCATTATGTACAACCTTGTTCCAGTTTCAAAAACACTATCTGCATTGAATAATCCTGATAGTTTCCTATAAGAAAAATGTTTGGACAGTAAGAAACAATATATGAGTGATTTAAATTTAAAAGTACCCCAAACCCTTTTCGGTATTAACTTCGAAACTTCGATGGTGGCCAACATGCTAGATTTTTTTATTAACATCAAAAGTAGAAATTATGTACAAACAAACAATATACAAATATACAAATAGGAGGCCCTGAAAGGTTTAGTTTGGTATGAGTGTATAAATTACCGATTCATAAGTCGTTTAGTTCGCTCCTACTTGTCATGGGTTCCCTGTGGTCATCGCTCATGAGGCTACGACATTTAATCAGTCCAGGAAAGAGCGACAGACAGACGGACAGAATTAGCTTCATTAGTGCGTTTGAATAAGCATTCTTAATAAGAGTATAGTAACTGAAACTGAAGTTAAATTTGCAATTTATCATTGCGTTAAAAATATCATGATTTCATGATCTTACAGTTTCAAAATTAAGCATTAGAAACACGCGGAATTGATGGGAGAACACGACAATTTCTTTTTCTTTTTTTTTAGCACATTTCAACCAATCAATGGCCGTTATACAATAGTTATTTTGTGGCATCATTTGAGAGAAAATGCTGAGCGATTCTCCAGACATTCATATGTATTATTTTTCCACTTTTTTTTGTATAGCCTTTCTTTCTGTATATATATTCTGGCAAAATGACACACTCTAACTTCACGTTCGACATACGCGAGCGTCTGTAATCTTCCTTTGTCAATTTTAGGGGGTACGCTTATGACGGTTTACGTTTTTAAAACGACGTTTGGCGTTGGCACTAAACATTGATTTAAAACTCCCTATCATGACTTAAGTCATGTACGTATAATAATTTTAAAATGATGGAAACTAGCGGTAAACTAGTGTGAGCTGTGTCGGTTTTTCTAAAGAAACAGTTGTGTAAAAAGAGAAATTTAACACCGTAAAAAAGTAGGTGTGATAAAGTCAGTTTAAAGTGATCTAAAATCAACCTGTCGTTATTGTCCCCTCGGGGCCGGGTTGTTCAAAGCCCGATTAGTGTTAACCCAGAGTTAACACCATAGGTTTTCTAAGCCGTTAACAAGGATTAGCGCTAATCGGGTTTTGAAAACAAACCGTCCCTCAGATCAATAAAAACTCATATCTACTCAGTATTAATGATTATAAATAAACAAATTTTCTGTCCCTAGTAATGCCTATGTGTTCTTGTCTCTTGCACGTGCGTATAACGCCCTTTCTGGTTGGTTTTATCAATGTGTCTAGTGCCGTGAAAAGTCATGTCATTTACTGGCTACATAAACACCGTAATCATGTTGTCAAGTGCATTAAAGGAAAAAAAAAAACATTTTGCATCTGAGCTTTGTTTTCAAATAAAAAAAGCGTACTGAAACGGAAGCTTTACAAGAAACCATTATAAGTATAGAAAAGTTAGTATAGTTAGTAAGTATGTTTCATACAATTTCTGATTACAGAGCATGTTTCAAAACAAATTATTATAGTCACTTTTAATTGTCAAATCTTTTCGATTGTTCTTTCTTTCCTTAGTAATATGATGCTCTTTTAGAACCTTAAGCTTTTGTTTTGATAATTGTTCTGATAGTAATCCTCGTAGCGTGCATGCTTTCAGTTAAGTTTTGTCAACTTTTACTCTTTACCAGTCATTTCCCTGCGGTTGACTAAATCATCTTTAGCTAGTAACGTCTGGAGAAGGCGAGAAGGAATTAAGTTAGATTTACGCCTTTCTGTTAAAGTATATTTTTAATGTTTTAATACCCTTTTTTGTGTTCATCTTTCCTTATGTTAGTGACCTGGTTAATGGATATATCTATTTTTATACTTCGTTTGTCTCTTTTTAAAAGGTATAAAAGTATGCCTCGAAGGCAGCAAATGGCTTGCTTTGAGATAGTGCATTTTAAATTAACGGAAACTGGTTCCTTTATTGTAAGAATTGTCTTTCGTATAAAGATAAGTGGGGTTGAATTTAAAGTGCAAAGGGGCGTTGCCGTTAGAAACATGTGCTGTTTGCAAAATGTTGAATTCGACTATGCTATGTATGGTTCAATTCAATGACTTGTCGATTGGCTTTTTTGTACACATTTTTGGTTGGAGAGCTTTGTTCTTTGTTCTTCTTTTTTGATTCTTCTTTTCATGTTTTTTCATTCGTTTCTTCGTTCTGTACTGAGTTCTGAGTCTAGGGATTCAAAAGAAGTAGCTTATACTAATGTTAAGAATTACTGGTTTAGTAAGCATTTATTGAAAATGAAATGCAAACATGCAGAACAAAATAACAGCTAAAATAGCAAGAAAACTATGTAAAAACTCTGAGCAAAGCAAACAAAACAAGAGTACAAACATGATAAGAGTAAACAAATACTACTGCGTTCAAAAAAACTCCAAAAGATTTAAGAACTAGTGACTTAGGAACATTTATTTAAAATATTAATAATTAAAAAAGTCCAAAACAAACAAACAAACAAACCAAGAAAAAAATAAATACAAAAAATCAGGAAAAAAAAATAAAAACAA